GGTAGTTAAGATGATATTCAAGCAATTTTCCAATTTTACCTCTTAACTTAATCTATTAAACCCCAATAAGTGCTTTTTCACTGAATAATTCAAGAAAACAAGTGGATAAGAAAAGTGTCCAATCAATACAGCCGTTAGCAGGCTTAGCATTTAAAGATAATATATCAATAATATAAGCACTGGTCATATATCACCCTGTCTACTTCTTACACACATACGCACGCGCGGGCACAGGCCTACCCGTAAAAGCACCCACTCACCCACCACCCACATTTCAAAATCCTAAATCCTAAACTCTCGAGGACCATTCCTCGTGGTCAATTATGTTGGACAAAATAATAACTTACTTTCACATTTGGGGGGTAAGTGGTATAAGCATAAGATAATCATTGTCTCCTTTCCAATTGCGAGGTTTGAACGTATTAATACATTGGCTGCAAATCCCCCTTTATTTTCTCTGAATATGGTAATAAGCTTTTACAAGAAGATGGAACAACATATTATTTATCTTTCCGCCTGTTTTTGTGCAAGGCGTGAAGCCTCGAATCTTGATTTGCTGGCTATACATCCCAATTGCTTCTAGTAAAAATATTTAATTTCACCTAAGTCGCCGTGACAAACTTCTTTCAAGCCCCTTTGACTGCATAGCCTTCTAATGAAGGTTATGTACAGGTAGGCTTTCCTCCTGTTTCGCGCAATATCATTTCATTGAATTCCGCTCTATTTAGCTTTTTTGACGAATTCTTTTTGACGACACGGAATTAAACCTTGGGGATGTCTGTCTGGATTTCTGTCGGCGCGCTTCTGGCAAGGTTACAGTCTAAGGTCCCTGGTCACTTCCACCCCTCTGCCAAGTAAGATCTCAAAGTAAATGTGTAATAAGTCTTTGCAAAAAGGTGTGAAGACTCGTCTGGCATTCTGAAAAACAGACCTTCCGCCCTCCTGAAAATCTTACCTTGATACATCAGCACCTAAGTGGTAATTGCATTGCCATTGAACGTTAAGTGATTGGCTGTCAATTAAAACATTTAAGTCAAGTCTATCCATGTCTAGAAGGATATTTGAATCATCATAGTGTGCCCAAAGCCTTCTTTAAAACGTACTATAAAATTGATTATCTATTGGATAATTTTTAGCTTGAAAGACGAAATAACAAGCGTCGAACGAAATTATTCCAAACGGGCTTTTGTGCACTAGTTACATTATTGAGATTTCTTGACACATCCATAGTTTAGTACCGCGGTAGTTAAGCACATAATCTGCAGCTATCTAAATATATCTCTGTTTGTCGTCTCTAATTATATATATTTTGTTCTCTCGTTATCTTCCCTCGCTCTGTCAGACCGAATAAGAATATAATTTGCACCTCAGATCAATATGATACCTTAAGGATAAAAGAAGAGGCATTACGCATCACTTACTCTGATATTGTCTTTACCGCTCAATAATATGCTCATTATAAGATTAAGATGACAATGAAGGTACCTTAATCCCACCCCCCATCAACCCTTTCCACTTCAAGGTTACTACGGACATGGTGTAACAATTTACACAGAAAAGTGTACATTCATTTGATATTCGGTGTCGATCAGTTTATACTTCATCAAATTTCTACTTCTGTGAATACACTAATTCGACCCCCCCCCATCATATTGATCTTTTTTGTTTTACCTTTCATAGTCTAGTAAAGCATCTTTACCCTTAAATAGCCTTAAAAGGTGGGATTAAGATAATCAGTGGTAGATATTAAACTCTCAAGAAATGCACGGACGTCAACTTCCTTCAATTGATCAAAATATGTAAGTGGATGAGAAAGGCAGAGAAAGGATAGAGAGGGGGAATTGGATTGGGAGAGGGAGGTAGAGAGAGAGAGAGAGAGAGACAGAGACAGAGACAGAGGGGGGGGGGGTGGAACAAACAGAAGGAGAAAAAAAAGAAAGCTTTTTTGTCATAGATTTCAGGGTTGCTCAATTTACTGAGGTCAAACCATTAACGTTTAAAATTTGCCCCAAACTTTCCTATACTAATTGATTAACTTCCAAAAATTAGATCGTTAGGATGAGAAAGGCAGAGAAAGGGAAGAGAGAGAAAGATAGAGAGAGAGAGAGAGAGAGAGAGGGGGGGGGGGAGATAGAGAGAGAGAGAGGGGGGGGGGGGAGAGAACAAACAGAAGGAAAAAAGACAGCCTTTTTGTCATAGATTTCAGGGTTGCTCAATTTAGTGAGGTCAAACCATTATCGTTTAAAAGTTTCCTCAAACTTTCCTATATTAATTGATTAACTTCCAAAAATTAGATCGTTAGGATTATCAGAGGTGCAGTATAAAATTAATGATACACTACGGACAGGAAAAAAGGGCACTTTAAGACTTCAAGAGGTTTGTTAAAGATTTAAAACGCTTGATACTTCTATGAAAACGTGATTTTGATTTATAACGATTATGTACTTTGCAATTTATTAACGGGCAATCCAACCGTTATAATGTGTATGAGAGCAGAAAAATAAGATAATAAACAATATGGCTAAAATTTAAAAATAATCGAACAAGTAATTGTCAAACAAGTACTGAATGTTCGTAATAACAAATCACTAAGTCTATTCGAATCTTAAATTTGCAGTTTGGTCAGTGGATTGTGACGTAGTGTCGTTTTTTGTGTACATTAATTTCTATTTTCTTCTAGGTTAAAGTGCCTCTTCTCTTGGAGCTAGTATTACAAATATATTATGGATAGCATATTATAAGAGGTCCTTCTAAGAGAATAAACCCTCCAGAGTAGGATTTGTTAGTGTGAAAAATTGCCATTTAGTAATTTTGTGCTCTGGAACAAATAAGAAATTTGGCAGCCACGACCTCTCAGAGACATTACAGATTCAGCCAATTTGAAGACCCCACACGTATGGTGATTACAACTTATTCAACTTTAATAAATTTCCCATTTTTTGTCCGATTTCATTTAAAATTTCACCAATATACTTCATTGATTTGTTTGCTTTATTCTAGAGTAGTTTGGTTTGAATATTGGATTACCCTTAAAGTCCTTTATTCTTTATCGATGATTCTATTCTATGTCCACTTTCACATTGTAATAGTGTGCGAGTAGTAGTCCCTGGATTTCTGCCTATCATCTTCCATCAAGCCAAAATTGAATTGAAGTGAAGTGATCTGACTTTTGATTTCATTTGATTTTCACTGGGCGTCAAACTAGTTATGTTTTTTTCCAAGTTTCTTTCTCTGACTCTTGTCATTAAATAACATGTTCGAAATGTGGGAATATTAAGATCTAGAACCAATATAAGGAATAAAAGTGGTAGTATATTGTAAAAGTCCTTATATCTTTCTTCCACGACCAACAACCCCATCCCCCCCCCCCCAAAAAAAGAAGATTTTTTGTTAAAGAAACATTGAGAAGAGGTTTCCCTCTACTCAGGTGATTACTAATCATTTGTCACAGAGGTTGGTAATGGAATATGGTCGTTTTGAAATAAGTATCCCTTCATCTTTGTGGGAACAGTCGACCTGATTGATCAGGTGGGTTTAGGGGGAAAGCTCCGGTGGCAAAGCCCCCCAAGGTCGGGATGCCGGTTAAAAATCATACTGCTTAAACTTATACATGTCTTTATTTATCTTGGTTTTTCCTGTTATTTCTCCCCGCCTAAATTGGCGGGATGCGGTGTAAAGAAAACCACGTACCTGTATGTTATGTTTAAATGCGGATGTTCAAGTATGTCCAGATGTAGGGAAACAATATTTTAATAGAACATTAGCTTAGTTTTTCGCTTAGTTGGAAACGGTTAATGTCATAAAAGCTATATTAAATTAAAAAAACAACATTATATTACCATGATAATGTAAAATATGAAGCTCTATCCGAATGACTCCATTTGTATAATAATCATGATTATTATTTTGTATTTCTTTACATCATTTTGTGATATCAGACATTTATTTGTATGTCCTTTACTTATAACACTGGATAACAGTAGTCGATGTGTACCGTTTTTAAAACAGAGGTGTTATGATTATAAGAAAATCAAATATATCATTGAGAAAAAACAACACACTTGAGTAAAGATGAATTTATCAAATATGTACGTCTGATGTTTGTTCCTCTGAACAAACCATCCTCCCCTTACCCCTTACCTCACCATTCCCATCTCTTTTTTCTTACTCAATCAGTCAAAATGCGTATTTATAATTATATTTTCCTTTCTTTTTCTATCCTTCGAGAATCTTTCCCGAAATCTTTTCTTCCCACTCCATGTAGAATTGTTTGTATCCTTATTCCACATCAAGAATAGTTTATAGTCCACCACATATTTCTTTTTCTTTGTCCAGGTAGAAACCAATACCCCCATCCTCCGATATGAGGCCTCCCCCCTCCCCGCCATCCACTCCCAACCCAATCCCGGCTGGTATTCCTCCTTCTTCCTAATTCTTTTTCCATCTCGTTATAAATGAAAGAGGGATCAGGCTGGGTTTACTTCATCCTCCAGGCTCATTATTTTGTCAGTTCTGGTTTGCATCAAGGAATGAGAGAGTCTTTAGTTTGGATCCTTCATTTTCAGCCAGCCCTAATGGCAAGTCCTGGTGGTGTCCAAATGCATGGTATATTCGGTGCATGAGTTGGAGGGGGAGGAGGGGACAAAGCTACCCCCTTGTTTACACCCCTTTTCAAACTGGAGAGGTGCTAGTTATTGTACATGACATGATATACATAATATCACGGTAAATTTACTATAGATCCTACACTAAACCTATTACACAAGGTGACTCCTCCCTTCAAATGTTATTCTCTTTCTCTCTCTTTCTCTCTGTTGGAATGCTATAGGATCCGACATGGATGGGGGAGGGGGTAAAACATACCCCCCATTTAATCTTCTGGACTTGGTAATATTGTGTGCAGAGTTGCTTAGCTCATATCTTGTTATGATATGTCTCTTTTAATATTTATCTGAAATACAACCTCCCCCATGTTCTATCTCCCCATGTGCCATAACCATTCACCATCTCTCTCCGTTTCTTTCCATCTCAGATTCTTCAGATTTTACCATTCTTAATTCCTCCTCCTCTCTCCGTTTCTTTCCATCTCGGATTCTTCAGATTTTACCATTCTTAATTCCTCCTCCTCTCTCCGTTTCTTTCCATCTCGGATTCTTCAGATTTCACCATTCTTAATTCCTCCTCCTCTCTCCGTTTCTTTCCATCTCGGATTCTTCAGATTTTACCATTCTTAATTCCTCCTCCTCTCTCCGTTTCTTTCCATCTCGGATTCTTCAGATTTTACCATTCTTAATTCCTCCTCCTCTCTCCGTTTCTTTCCATCTCGGATTCTTCAGATTTTACCATTCTTAATTCCTCCTCCTCTCTCCGTTTCTTTCCATCTCGGATTCTTCAGATTTTACCATTCTTAATTCCTCCTCCTCTCTCCGTTTCTTTCCATCTCGGATTCTTCAGATTTTACCATTCTTAATTCCTCCTCCTCTCTCCGTTTCTTTCCATCTCGGATTCTTCAGATTTCACCATTCTTAATTCCTCCTTCTCTCTCCGTTTCTTTCCATCTCGGATTCTTCAGATTTTACCATTCTTAATTCCTCCTCCTCTCTCCGTTTCTTTCCATCTCGGATTCTTCAGATTTTACCATTCTTAATTCCTCCTCCTCTCTCCGTTTCTTTCCATCTCGGATTCTTCAGATTTTACCATTCTTAATTCCTCCTCCTCTCTCCGTTTCTTTCCATCTCGGATTCTTCAGATTTTACCATTCTTAATTCCTCCTCCTCTCTCCGTTTCTTTCCATCTCGGATTCTTCAGATTTTACCATTCTTAATTCCTCCTCCTCTCTCCGTTTCTTTCCATCTCGGATTCTTCAGATTTTACCATTCTTAATTCCTCCTCCTCTCTCCGTTTCTTTCCATCTCGGATTCTTCAGATTTTACCATTCTTAATTCCTCCTGCTCTCCGTCAACATAAAAATCCACTTCCAGTTACAACTCCCCCGTGTACATGGCACGATTACTACAAAATCGGTACAATTAGTTGACAAGGTGACAAACATTTCTGTCGCGAATTATTTCAACCTGCACTCAGGGAGTTGTATTACCAAATACATTAAATATATATAAATATTATACATGACAAGAGCAGTGGTCATATACTGGTGCTCCATAGAACTTTCAATAATATTCACCTCTAAAAGGACATTATAGCTATTACGAGTACATGGCGTTGGTATCCTTTTGCAAGGAGACGCTTCTGAGTAACTAGTAGATCCTTTCAAATTGCTATAAGCATGGACCCATGCTAAGCATGAGACATTACTTTTTGTTGAAGATTTTTTTTTCTTCAACGAAGTGTATCTGAATAGACCATGATGATATTTTGTCTTGATAGTTTCAAATACAAACTTATTTCTCTCTTGGGGGGGGGGGGGGGTAATTCCTCCATTGCTTGTTCTCATAGTTTTAAAGCTTTCCAAAAAACACATGTTAACATTTTATTTAATGGTTTATATAAATCTTAAAAATCAGTGGCTTAATTTCGTTTATCATCCACCTCTTTTCAAAGTTAGGCATAACAATGTGAACTATTTCAAACAAAAGTTGTAGAATAAAAGCATATACAAGGGATCACGTAATGTGTATGTCATTAAAATTCAACTGATTGTAGTGTATCTAAAAATAACTGTACTTTACTCTACACACTATATTTACACATAATACATCGCCGCTTGATAATTGGAAGGAAAAGGGTACGCTTTGTTAGCTTTGCGGTTAATTTACCATTCTTAGAATTGTCATTTTGCGTCATCAGTGCTGGTTATCCACTAAAAATCGCGTCTTAACCCCATCAATCCGCGTGTTCCGCGGGCAGCCCATCGCGGTCTGCAACCGAGCTCGCAGCCAGCCCTGCCCCTCCCCGTGTCAGGCCGGGCAGGGATTAGCTTAGCGTGAGTCTACCAAACCCATGCCAAGCCGCAATGAGTGATATACGAACGCAAGTGTGACTGAGCGGTGTTCTGTTTCCAAAAAACACGATGTAGGGGGATGAAAGCGACAAGAGGAAGAATTCATGAAAGAAAGTCCTTGTTTTGAACTTGAAATTTTCCCTCATTATGCTTTAAGGTGTAGCATTTTAGGTTTAAGGTATCTGCATATGACTTGTTCCCGATAGAGCTATTACGTATGTGTTATTTTATATAAAAGAATGCTCCTTTTTTGTTGCTCGTTATAATGTATGCATATGATTTTTTTAGGCGTGCATTCAGTTCAGTCTACGAGATTGCATCCCCGTCTTTAACTATGAAGGAAGACGTCGATTCTACCTTTAGCTAACACTGTGCCATCTCCACTTTAAAACAAACCATTGAGAAAAAAAAATGTATACGAATAGGTATAGATATAGCATATTATCAAGACCCGCTGACTCCATATATTCGAAATGATTAAAAGTAATTAAAAAAAAATGTTAGGAAGCTGTAAATAGAATAAAATCAATCCAGTGATTGTAATTTTCATTCCTGGTCTGTGTTAAGAAGATAAAAACCGTAATTATATATACATCAGCTACCAACATATCCTACTCTACATAATCATTGCTCTTTTTTTCATTTTGTTTTTCAATGATTACTATTGATTATGGCACGTAATTAATATTTCAAGTGTTAATAATCGTACATGCCCTCTTGTTAAACTATACAAGTATGACGAAAAAATGTAATGAACTACCTTTTTTTACAAGATAACAAAATGATGTTGAAATTGCATCAAACAAAATAAATACGCATAAAGAAATTGAAAGAATACTGATTCTTCGCTATGCTGCTATAATTCAAGAATGGCAATAATTAGAAGGATCATTATGGAGTGAGAAGTCACAAGAAAATCAGAGGCATGACATCATTTAGAGTCCCCCTGAGAACAAAAGACCTTGGTAAAAGTTGACAAATTTCCTGGGTGACATGAACATGTGTAACACAACCGTCCATGCTGGCCCGCGATAATTTAAAAGGGGGCTGCATCATTACTAAGCCCCTCAGTAACGCTCCCATGTCAACAGAAAAAAAGAAAATCGTGTTTAGCCCCCCGATGACTTGTCTCCGCTGCACTTTTTGACCCCGCCGAGGTTTGGAATCCCCGGGATAGAATTACAAATGCGACACGACCCCTAAATCTGCCATGACGGGTGTGTGGACTGCTGGTTCAGATCGCGCGAGGTGTCGACAAGATGAAAGGGGAGGTTGAGGGAGGGGGGTTAATGAGAGAGGGAGAAGAGGGGGAGGGAGGGAGAAGAGGGGGAGGGAGGGAGAAGAGAAAGGATGGGAGGGGGGGGGGGGGGGGAGGGGAGTGGCGACATGACTCCTAAATCTTGCTTGAAGGGTGTGTGGATTGCGGGTTCAGATCGCGTGAGGTGTTAAAAAGATAACAAGAAAAGGTCGGTAGAGAGAGAGAGAGAGAGAGTGGGAGAGGGAGAGGGGGAGAGGGAGAGATAGAAACATAGATAAGTATTAAAGTTGTTAGTGGGTCTATAACATTATGTCCCTTGGACATAAACCCTACAAAAGTTTTCTCTTACTAATTTTCATTAGTAAATGAGAAAAAAGGAAAGTAGAATAGCAAAAAAAAAAAACCAACATAATAATACAATCTATAAAAAAAAATATTATTAAGGTCCCGGGTCCAGGATTTAAATAAAGTTAACTGACTTTGTTTTCGTTGTGGTAGGTATGGAGAAGATAAGTAGGTAAACTTAAGAAAATGAATCTCAGCAAGAATTGAAATTGGAATACATATACTATTATCAAAAAAAACATTGGAAAAAAAGAAATTGAATTTTTTTAGATACCACTTGATATTTTTCAGGGAAAAAGATTAAATGATAATATTCCTTTTTTTCATAGTGATAAATGTTTTAACCTGGGGCATGTCCACTTTTTCTTCCAATTTCTAATCTATAATTCCTTTCATCATAACTTTTCTTCTAAAATTTAATTGTTATCGGTCACACAATACTTTGCTAAGCTAGTCCCTATTTATAGGGTGCATTCAATGAAGTTCTTTATATAAGGTTGATGATTTTCAATATGAAAGGAATATAAAAAGGTATTTAGATCAATTAATTCTTTGAGTACGCTACTGAACGGAGATCTATCACATAAAGTTCAATTGTATGAACCTGAAATTCATATTTTACTGAATAAAACATGAGAATTTCTTTTTCTTGAAAGCCTACTTGGAAGGGATAATATATCATGTCAAATGGTGTTTTCTCTTGAATATTCTCTCTTTTGAAGAAAGTGCCCTGTTTGATAGTTTTACCGTCCTTGAGGCGTTTGTGAACATATTTGTTTTCCATCTGAGAAGTAAAGATGTAAAATTAGATAAAATAAACTTCTCACATTCTTTCATCGCCATGCCCTTGAGCACAAATGGGTTTGAAACGAGGGGATATACATAACAGCATCGGATAGCATGACTGAACGAAACAACAAATAGCGAACGCAGTAAGAAGGGGATAATCTATGGTATCCTCTTATAGTAAACCTCATGACGAAAAGTTGGTAACACTTCGAAAGTTTAGCGAGTAATGTTGTCTTTTAAATGAAAAAGAATATCTAACGTAGTAGTAGATGTAGTAGTAGAAGTAGTATTATTAGTAGTAGAAGTAGTATTAGTAGTAGTGGTAGAAGTAGAAGTGGTAGTAGTTGCGGAAGAAGTAGCAGTAGATGCACTATATGTTGTAGTATTAGAAGGAGGTACACTTTAAGTATAATATACTAGGAAATACCTGATATAGCTAAAAAAAAAACAAAAAAAAAACGAGTGTTCTACAGTTACTTCACACACAAAAAACCTAAAACATTTAAACAAAACTACACCAAAGAAAATATGTTTGTTTAAATCCACGCAAAAGGTAAATTCCCTTCTAACGTTCGTAGGTTTTGTCAATCTAGCGTTTAATCCATTAGATAATCGAAAAATCCCTAAAAATCAATGACTCTTTACAATGATGTTTGGTTTTGAGCAGCTTTCCTTGGTAATCTGGGATAAATCCTGCCCCCGATGCATACCTCTGCTTTTTTCCCCTCTCATTTGTTTCGTGTCCCCTAAAAATATAATATTGAAAAATGGGGAGATAAGGCTTGCTATTATTTCTCTCAAATCCCCATCCGTCATTTTTTTTCTATTTTGGCTACTGAAAGTGCAGAGCGGCTAGGGCTTAAGTGATTCCCCCACCATTACTGTCAGATTTGATAGCAGGATTCGCCAGTTTATTAATCAATTTCGGGAGAGATAGTATGTTAGCTAAATCGATTGGCCAACTCATAAATTAGTTCGACTATTGCCCTCAGCGTATACGGCGATGGGACACACTACGGCTATGGAGGCGTTTAATAAACGTTTTGCGCGCGATTTTTTTTCTTCACTCCTGTGTCGTCTGCCCCAAAACGTCCCGCCCCGCAAGCTATGAAAAGCGACTCTGATTTTTTTTGTTTTGTGCCAGCGCAATACGCGTTCGCGTAAAGGGTTATTGCTTCGCTAAATTGCACTCATTTGTTCACCTAAATTGGACTTCATCCTCTAATGGGAAATAGCTCCAAGGCTGGAAATTACATTTCAATTTCCCGAAACAAAAATTTGTATGAACAGCAAACGGGGAGAGAGGGGAAAAATTTGAGAGATGGCAGTAAATTGATTAATAGATATGACGGATGGGAATGAAATAATTTCATTTCGAGCTAAATTTGATAACGTCCCTATGAACTTGGTTGAATGGCATGACTAATGGCATCTCCACTGGTAGGATGATAGGGTCTCAGTGACTACTTACATGATATCACAAACTGAATTTATGAACAATCTTTCTCTCTCTCTCTCTGCTATACCATCTCTCTATGTCCACTTCATCTCATCTCTCTCTCTCTCT